GTGTGTGTGTGTGTGTGTGTGTGTGTGTGTGTGTGTGTGTGTGTGTGAGAGAGAGAGAGAGAGAGAGAGAGACAGAGAGACAGAGAGAGAGAGAGAGAGAGAGGTGGCAGCAAATTCATCTTCCTAATTATGTTTTGCTTAGGCAAATCAGACAGTTACATGTAGAGGTGACTACAGATGAACTGAATGAAGACATTAAAAAAAACTGTTTTCATTTGAAAGATGATCATAACCAAAATTTTATTAGATAGAATGAAAATACAATGAAATTATTAAGAAAAAAAACAAAGAAAGAATGTATTAAACATGGCAACTGATATGGCTAATTATTGTGAAAGAGAATAAAGATAAATATTTAATGTAATGCAAATAAATAAAGGTAAAAAGGGTGTCTGGGTCATTGATGGAAAAGGGGAAAATCAGAACATAGAAGTCGGCTTGCATTCTCTGAGCATTCGCCAGCTGGGAATAGAGAGTGTTTTGTGATGGGGGAAGCTGCCTTGAGATTCAAACTTGGCCATATTTAAAAACAAACAAACAGGGAAAAGCATTTTATGACATGTGACCAAGCACGTGTGGCATGTGTACATGTGTAGCAAGAGTTAATATCTTTATTATGTAATGAGCTTAGGCAAATTGATAACAGCAGCACTAACATCTAACTGATAAAATGGGCAATAATTTCTGTTTCTAATATTTTCCATGACTAGGAAAAGAAATATTTCATGTTGAAAATATAGAAATGTTTGCTCAAACACTGCATTTTTGTTCAACCCTCTAATAACCAAAGAAATTAAATTTAGACCAAATTGGGGTGAGACATGTTCTCAAATAAGCATTTACAGTGTGAAGTCAATATACTGATTTTGAAAATTATCTTTTTCAAATATGAATCAATACTGATCAATATGTATTAAGGGCGATCAAAATGTCCAGAAATTTTATAGTTTTAAGGAAGCAATTATATGGAATATAAAAAATGCAAGATGTTTGTGATATGTAAAAGCACTATGCAGAAATGTGAAAAAATATATTCCTGGCCAGAAGGTTGCTCACACCTGGAATACCAGTACTTTGGGAGGCCGAGGTGGGTGGATCACGAGGTCAGGAGATTGAGACCAGCCTGACCAACATGGTGAAACTCCGTCTCTACTAAAATACAAAAAATTAGCTGGACGTGGTGGTCCACGTCTGTAGTCCCAGCTACTTGGGAGGCTGAGGCAGGAGAATTGCTTGAACCCAGGAGGTGGAGATTGCACCACTGCACTACAGCCTGGGTGACAGTGCAAGACTCTGTCTCAAAAAAAAAATTCCTGATAAAATGTACACTGGGAAAAGGAACACAAAATTGCATGTACCCTATGGTTATAATGACTTAAAAATAATCATGGGCAAATGATGAAAAAGAAAGACATCTGAAAAACAGTGCTTGTGGTGGTTATTCTTGTTACTTTCTTTTCTCAAATAGCCATTGTTGGGATTTTTTTCCCTCTTTTATTTCTTACTATTTCTATACCTCTCTCAATCCTTTTCCTTTTTTTCTTTTTTTAAGACAAGGTCTTGCTCTATTGCCTGGGCTGGAGTGCAGTGGCACAATCTTGGCTCACTGCAACCTCCACCTTCCAGGTTCAAGCAATTCTCCTGCCTCAGCCTCCTGAGTAGCTGGAATTACAGGAATGCACCACGATGCCAAGCTAATTTTTGTATTTTTAGTAGAGATGAGTTTTCACCATGTTGGCCAGGGTGGTCTCGAACTCCTGAGCTCAAGTGATCCACCTGCCTCAGCCTTCCAGTGTTGAGACTGCAGGTGTGAGCCACAGTGCCTGGCCCCTTTCTCAATTCTTTAATGAAAAAATGTAGCCATGGACCATGCATGCCTGGAAAGCTGGGGGTGGGTCCACTAAACCAGCAAAGTGATGGAAAGCAGACCAGTGTCTCCCTCAAGGCCTAACAATATATAAATGCCGTCCTATAAACCAATAGGAACTTGAGATGGTTTTATATGGAATGATGTCTTTTTGTACGTGTTTTTATCATCAGAACTACAGAATCTCAGCAATGCCTTTACTCAGTTACCATTTAAGGACTTCTCTAAAGGGTGATTCTGAGAATAATCTATCTGAAAAGAACTTTTCCTTCTTGTAAAACTATACTTCAGAATGGTATTTTCTGAACCACTACCTCACCCTCTTAACAAGGACCTGTCATAAATTCCTGCTTGAGTTTAGTTCTAGGAAAAGTTTTTTTTTTTTTTTTTTTTTTTTTTTTTTGAGATTTAGCTTGTGCTAAATTGTTTTTTAAAACTGTAACTCTGAGGCATTTTATTATAAAAAGCTAGTACTCATATACATAAAGTAATATGTACTTAAAATTCATGATACATTTACTTCATTTTTTAGCTTGACCTTCTAGCAGATCTTTAGCTTCATTGATTTTGGCTGCTATACACGGAGACCCTCCTTTGTCAGGATGATTTAAAAGCATAATTCGTCGGTGAGCATCTCTTATTTTCCCTTTATTGGCAGTAGGGCTTACACCTAGTATTAATGCTGCTTCCCGTTTTGTCATTTTGGGTTCAAACCCACCTCTGCAATAGCCACCACTGAAGGCAGATTTTGGTAGACTCTGAAAAACTTGTTTTACTTGAGGCTCCATATGCTTCATGGCTTGCAAAACATAACGGCCTGCAAATCCTGCAGCTGCAATGGTCAGTCCAACTGCTACCATTGTACTGGCCATGGCTGCTGCGGCTGGCTTCCCTCGCTTCCACCGGGAGCCCGGCTCATCCCAGCGCACAGACCGCGGCGGACGCCCGCACGCCCCGAGCAGAGCGACGCACCTGCGACCGCACGCACGAGCCGCCCGAAGTTCTCTTCTTTAAAACAAAAACAAGAACACTCTTTAGCCCCATCACCTGGATGAGAACTCTTTTCTGATACTCTGGAGTTGCCAGGAAGCCTCCAGCCGTTTGTCTTTTTCATTGTAATCACAGCTTTGCCTATTTGACTGTAATCAAGCCACATGTCACTAGGCTTGGTTTCCTTCAGGTTGTCTGTGTGCTGTAGTTTTAATGCTTTGATGTTTTATCTTGAAGTTCTCTCAGAAGTAGATAGGTGCAGAAATTGAAAATAAACAAATGAAGAAAAGCATTTTGTTATAGAAACAGAACATACGAATTGTTTTTATTTGAAGATGCAAATCATCTAAACAAGTAGAAAGTGAGAAAATCAAAGTGTACCTCTACCCAGTCCTGTGCCCAGAGGTAACTCAGTTTGAAGTGTATCTTTTCATATCCATAATTAGACAAACTTAATTTTTTCTAAAAAAAAACACAACACATGGAAACATGTTTTTAACAATGGGTTCAAGGCCGGGCGCTGTGGCTCACGCCTGTAATCCCAGCACTTTGGGAGGCCAAGGCGGGTGGATCACGAGGTCAAGAGATAGAGACTATCCTAGTCAACATGGTGAAACCCCGTCTCTACTAAAAATACAAAACATTAGCTGGGCATGGTGGCATATGCCTGTAATCTCAGCTACTCAGGAGGCTGAGGCAGGAGAATTGCCTGAACCCAGAAGGCGGAGGTTGCGGTGAGCCGAGATCGCGCCATTGCACTCCAGCCTGGGTAACAAGAGCGAAACTCCGTCTCAAAAAAAAAAAAAAAAAAACCAATGGGTTCAATATTTTAAACATGTAAACTTTTTATTTTTTAACT